CCCCCAGAACAACCCTCCACGTCGCCCCCCCGCCCCCAGGCACCCCCCCCAGAACAACCCTCCACGTGCCCCCCAGCCCAACTCCTCACCCAGCCCCCAGTGCAACCCCCCACTGGAACCCCCCGCAATTACCCCACAAGCCCCCCATGCGCCCCGCCTCTCCCACCTGTGACCGCGGCACAGGGAACGTCACCGCGCCTCGTAACCCGCCCCCTGCCCCGAGCCTGCGCCTTTAAGGCAGGGGAAGGGCGGGGCCTCGGCGAGTGACATCAGGGGTGGAGCCGAACCCCGCCCCCTGGAGGGGGCAGCGGCGATTTAAAGGGCCAGAGTCCGCGCTCGGCTGCTGCTGGAGCAGAAGGGGAGGCAGGGGCGGGGCGGGGCCTGCACCAGGAGCACCACGTGCCTCCTGGTTCCCACGCAAGAGGCGAGGGAGGGGTAGCATCCCCGGCTCCCGGGGCGACATGGCTGCAGGGGGGAGGGATTTGGGGGTGCAGGGGGGGCTCGTCAGGGCACCTGCAAACTCACCGGAGACCCCTCCCCCTCCCCCAGCTCATAGGGTGATCAGGGCAGAATCCAGGCCGCCGGTGCAGTGATTTACGGGGCCAGGCCTGGCCCGGCCATGCTGGGAACAGGGCGCAGCTCTGGTTCCCAGCCTGGGCTGGGGCAGTACTGCCAAGGCCATGGGTCCCCTCCCCGGGCAGCAGCACGGGGCTCACGGCGACACTAGGGAGCGGAGGCCAAAGCCGGGGTGGGTACCATCACTGCCATTAACATACAGCCTCATCCCACCCCTGCCCTTAGCCCCGGGGCTGCTCAGTGCTGGGAATGTAATGCAGGAGTTTGCCCTGGGGTACCCACTGCTCCAACAGCATCACGGTACTTACAGCCCCCTGCCCCTGCCCCGGGGGGTTCGGTCATAGGCAGAGAGCTTGGAGAAGGGCTATATACCAGCCCTGGCCGCTAGGTGTCAGACCAAGGGAGGGACGGAGGGCTCCATCCTAGAGCTGTTCTGCACGTCCCAGCAGGGTACGTTAGAGCAGCCCTGAGACTGCTCTAACTTCCACGGGGCACCAGCCCAGTCCCCGTACAGCCCCAGCCCACCGGGGAAGGAGGCGAGTGGCGCTAGTTATTGCCAGTTGTAGGACACATTTTGCTGTGTAGACGCAACCCCTGGAAACCAGACAGACCCAGCGCGGACACGAAACAGGAGCAAACTCTGGCAAGTGCTTCCGGCAGGTGGCTTTGAACCCGTGACCTCTGGGTGCAAGACTCCACCAGCCATCTCTCCCGGGGCCATACCCCTGCCAGCGCCGTTCACACCCAGGAACCGCCCCAGCAGCTGGCAAGGGGCAGCAATTCCCCCTCTCAGCCCCAGGCATGTGGGGAGCAGCTACCTACAACCAGCCCCCCCCAGCCCCTGGCCCACACAACCAGGCAGCTCAGCGCCCCCCCACCTGCCCGAGGAAAGTCTTCATGCAGGGGAGGTGGGGGAGTGGGTAGCTGCATAGGGACAGTAGCCGGCCATTAAGCAGAACTAGCCTTCTGGGGCTCCCTTGCCCGGTCTAGGATCAGCGGCATCCAGCCTCAGCCAGCACCCGCTGCCTGAGAGAACCTCTCTCAGGCTGGCCCGGTGCTGGCGAGAGCTGGGAAGGAGCAGATTCTATTTCCCACCTCCCCCCTGGTCTCGGCCCCTTCTCAAGGGGCAGCCCAGGGCCCACGCTAGTTACCACGCTGGTGAGTGGGCACAAAGCCATCACACCTCCCTCTCCCCCCTCCCCATGCTGGGCCCACAAAACCTTGGCTGGGAACCAGCTAATTACAGTCCCGTTCGCTTCCTTTTCTACGGCCCAGCCCCTCCCTGCTGGCATCAGCCCGTGAGAACCAGCCAGGCAGAGGAGCTCTGCTGGCACCGGCTGCCCTCGGGTAGGCACAGCCCAGGGGCTTGCCCCCCCCATGCATCTCAGCCCCCGCCCTGGGATGAACTCTTCAGCCCAGTGCCAAGGCGGCCAGGCAGGTACCAATCACGCCCCGTAGGAACTGGGCTGAACCAGCCTCAGGCCCGTGGACACAGGCCTCACCCCAGCCGCAGAGAAGTCACAAGCTCCCTCACCTTCCCCCACGACCCAAGCTGACCCCTCCTGGCACTTGTTGATTTAACTCGGCGCCTGTGGGCGGTGACATCAGCCCAGCTCTTATCAGGCGGGGGCAGAGGGGCAGCCACCTGCTCCATTTATCAACCGGGACCAGCTGTGCCGGGCATTCACCCTCCAGGCTCCTGCTGCCCCCCCCCGGGAAGGGGAGTTAGGAACAGACGGCTAGAGCCTAGGAAAGAGGCTGCTCGACCACCTCCAGCCTGAAGCAGCTGGTGCCCCTCAGACAGCCCCCAGCCCCCTCCCATCTCTCAGGCCCCGAGAAGCACGTCGGCAGCCCGGCCTGGCTGCAGGCTAGAGCCAGGTTCCTGCCAGTCACACCCCCACCCCCTCAGTGGGAGCATCAGGTGGCCTGACAAACCCCTGGTCTATCACCCCGCAGAGGGCGTAACACCTGTGCTCGCTGGGCATGGGGGGAGCTCGCTCGCCCCAGCCCAGGAATCCCCATCAAAGCAAGTGCAGGGGGGTGCTGCGGAGCTGGGCTCAGACTGGCCTGTTTGGGAGCAGGGGGGGCATGTGATGCTCACCCCCATCCAACGGGCACCTTGACAAATCCAGTGACCGTCCCCAAGCCGGTGCCAGGCCAGGCCCCGCCAGCCAGGAGCTTCAGCTTACAGGCTGCTCAACTGCACCCTCTGCTGCCCAGCCAGGCAAAGGACAAGCCTAACCCCCACCTCCTGACTTGTGCTCCAGGCACCCCCATCCTGACAGGACAGGGGGTGGGCGAGAGGAGCTCTGCCACAGCCATGGGGTATCCTCACCGCCCCAGGATCAGAGCCAGGCCGCAGGCGGGGGAGCTGGGCCCACAGGCAGGGGAACTACCCCGGGGACCCAGGCTCATTCCCGTTTGCCACAAGCACAGACCCTGCGCGTGCGATGGGGAGACCCAGGCCAGGCACGTTCAAATCTCAGCTGTTCCCCGCACTTCTGGCCCTGGGGTACGTGGACAGGGGCTGAGAGGCAGCAGATTTTCACAAGTCTACAGCCCGGCTGGCTTAGGATTTAGAAACAATCCTTTTGTGCCCCTGCTCTGCCCCCACCCAGAGAACACGAGCCCGAGGCGGGGGTGAGAGCGGGTTCTCGCCCTGACAGAGAAGCCAACCCTCCCTCTTCACCCCCCCACACCAGCCAGCTTCAGCCACAATAAAACAGCAGGTTCATTTAATACACGGATGTTTTTGTTTTTTACTTACATTAAATACATTGGTAAATCAGCAGCGGAATTCTGTTACCATGATTGTTATTTTAAATGCGATGGAGGAGCTTCCTCAAAAAGCAAAAAAAACTGATCAGAAAAAAAAAGGCAAGCGGGCTGGGGGCGAGGGAGGGCTTTCAAAAGCTGCAGTGTCCCCATTTGGGCCAGGGAGTTAGCCAGAAAACCACCACCACTCCTGGAAGAGGTGCGTGGGCTCGGGGCGTTCCAGCGTTGCCAGCAGCCGGGGGGTGGATGCTCGTGGTTGTCGTACAGGTAAGTAGAGTCTTTCCACTGAGCAGAAAAAAAAGAGTCTTTCCAGCAAGGACAGAGCCCCGCCCCCCGGAACGTTACAAATGCAGCCTGAAATCTCCAACAACGCCCTTGTGTTAGTGGCGGGGGGAAGTTACGTGTCACGTCACTGCAGGGATCAGAGGAGAAAAGGACCGAATACCCATGAGGCCATGTCACCCTTCAGCCCTCCCCAAAGATCTCCTGGCCCTAAGGCCCCCTCCATACACAGCCAACTCAGTGAGGGGTGCTGGGAAAAGCAACCGGCCCAATCAATTTCCCACTCCTCCCAGGCTGGCCTGCTGCCTCCCCCGCCTAGTAGTTTCTCTACTTCAACTCTGACCTCGACAATACAAAACGAGACGAGGACAGGGGCCTGCTTCCTGGAAGATGCTGGGGCTCCAGTTTGGCTAGTGCTGGCGGAGGGCATCACATCTCCCCCTTGGAGAGACCCCACTTCAAAGCTCCCCCCACTAAACACACAGGGCAGTAGCCTCAGCTCTGCAAGGCAGGAGCTCCCTCGCAGGCTCTCCCCGGGGCAGCGTTTAAAAATACGACTGACCGCCCCAGAGGCGGTTTATCCAGAGACCAGGTGCAGGGGGACGTGCAAGATTCCCTTTGCCCCTGCTCACAAGAGGCAACGTTCAGCCCGTGGCCCTGGCAGCCTCCGCGGCACCTCAGAAAAGCCGGCAGCTAGCGCCAGCAGTAATGGTGCGTCGAGGATCCTCGTCAGCTCACAACACATCCAAGGGCGACTCCGGTCAACTCGGACCCAGAGGCTCCATCGTTAACACAGCGACCGGGGTGCTGCTCTGATGCACCTGGGATCAGCTCTTCTGGGACTACACCGGGGGCCCAAGCGCTAGTTACAGCCAAAATAAAACCTGCTGCTGCTTCGCAAGTGAGAGCTTGTATCTCAGAGGGGCCCTCAGCCGTGGAGCGGAGCTTGTGACACGACAGACAGGCTGGGTGCCTGTCTGACCCGCCAACATACCCAGCTGGGGCAGGTGTGGGTCTGCGAAGCGGTGACACCCCCCTGCCCCAACCTCAGCGTCCGGAGAGGAGAACCTGCAGGGGGGAACTGACAGGGACCTCAAGATAACCAGTGTTCTCCTTCCATGGGGGGGAGCCGAGCCCTCGCCAGTGTCCCAGAGCGAGTAGGAGACTCCCCTTGCATCATCCGTCCTCCCCCCCTCCCCCCCCTTCCAGCCCATGCTAGAAAGACAATGGAGCGGACAGGGGCATGGGGAAGGGGCAGTCCACAGAGAGCCGCCTCGCCCAGGCCCAGGAAGGAAGGCAGGTCCTCTACCTTTGCATGGCCTCCCATTCTCCTTCACCTCCTCTCTAACAGACTCCCAGTCCCATGTCCCACCTGGAGCTCCCTAGGTTTGCTGCTCAGCACGGTTCCCCCCCCCCCATTCTGAAGTGATCCTGGCTAGTCACGTGGACTGCAGGGTAACAGACAAAGTGAGCCCCGTTTCCCGGCCCACAGCAGGGGGCTCTGCAGCTTACACGACCCAGGAGCGGCCTGGAGCCCCGAGGATAAAGCCTTGGGTGGGTTCCTCTTAGCGGGGAGAGCAGCAGAGCTCAGTGTGATGACCCCCCCAGGGGCTCAGGAGCCCTCGAGATAGCTAACACTGAACAGGACCCAAGGCAAGATGAGCTCAACGGGACAGACTGGAGATTAAAGTGCAAACCAGAGAATTTGCGCGGCTGGTGATAGGGGAAGAATAAACCAACAGCTCCGAGAGGCCATGAGATCTCACGGGGCGTATCCCTGCACAATACCGGACGCAGGGGGAACTTTGGGGTTTTACACCCCCCCAAGTCAGTATGAATGATACCATCTGCCACGATGCTGGGTGCATGGGCCTGGCAGTCCCACGAACAATGGGATTATGGGGGCTGGCTGTTGCTTGCACCGGATATTCACAGCAACGTAGTTCATGATTCTATTCCTGCTACTGAAGTCGGCGTCCGTGGTCGCTTCCTAGCGATCAATGCTAGCCAGAATCAGCCACCCTGTTGGGTCACAGGATTCCAACCCCCCACTTCCCCCCGTTCCCCAGCACTTCCGCTCCCTTGCCGGAAAGGCCACCCAGGACCAAATTAAGGACACTGCAGCTTCCCCCCCTCACCCCCTCAAACATTGAAATAGATGGGGAAAAAACAAAAAACCCCAGGAGAAAAATTAAAGAGTAAACCCACAAAAGACACCCTCAGAAAACAGCGTTTTCTGTAGGTCCCCGTTCAACTTATTCTTCATAAAATAAGCCTACAAGGATTAAGTTTCCACCTCCTTTGGGCCCCTCCCCCCAGCATTAAATAAAGGGGGGGATGGTAGAAGAGGACAGGTGTTATGGGACCGAGAACACAGATTTACCAAAGCAAAGAGAGGGTGGGGGGGAGGGAGGAATTATCTGGGAGAAGGAGACGGGGAATCAATCAGAATTAGGTAGCTATTTGCACCTATAATACAAAGTGAAGAGTTTGTGTTTTGGAAGTTAAGTCCCCGGTCGATCTGGTTCCACTGGCACTGGCGTGGTGGGAACAGATGTCTGGCGGTGGTTCTGAAGCATTAGAAAGTGCAGTTAGAGGCGCCGGGAGGGGTCGGTGCGCCGGTGTTAGGGGAGGTGAAGTGTGGTGGACGGGGGTGGGAATGGAGGGTCTCTCTTAGCTCGTCGTCTCGCGCCGGCCTCGCTCTCGAACGCCACCCTTCAGTTGCTACAACACTGGCTCTTGTTCTGCTGGGTCTGCTCGTGGAGGTCCACCCCTCGGTTCCGTCCCGCCACGCCACCCGTGCTCTGGGGCTCACTCTTTGGCAGCTTCTTGGCTGGTGGAAAGAGAAGAGAGAGTGAACGAGGCCGGAGAAGAGCAGCTCCCCTCCCTGCCCCCTGAGAGCCTGGCCACCTTCCGCCCAGGCCGGTTCTCAGATGGCCCATTTCTGAGACTCAAATCTGATTTCAGAACCATCTTGCCGCTGCCCCCACCACCACTCGGCTCTCTGGGGAACCCAGCTCCTGTCCTGCTGCACCCCCCCGGCCCCGGAGAGCTAGCCAGCGCCAGGAGAGCTGGCTGGAGTCGCTCCCGTGCCAGTCCTGCTGCACAACCGATCCTTACTGGCGCCATCCAGGCCAGAAGGAGCCAGCCGAGCTCCCAGGGCCTTCCCGTGGATACGTCCCAGGCGACGCAGATTCGGCGCAAGCAGCAGCTCCCAGGCCTTTTGTTTGCACACATGGATTTGAAGGCACGAAAGACCGAGGTGCTAAGAAAAGCAGAAACGAGGCTGCCCTGGAGCTGCGAGAAGGAGCCAAGGTTTCAACCGGCTCCATGACCAAGCAGGGACGTGGAAGGTCTCCAAGGGCACAAAGACCCAGCAGCCTAATCTGTAACCGCAAAGAATAGCCTGTCACAGGTCCCCTCCGAGCCTTCCAACGCTAACGCTGCTTCAACACGGAGCGCCACGTGAGCCCAGCCCCAGAGCCGATGGCAGATCACTGCTTGCTTCTCTACTGAACGTGCTGCAGTCCAGCTGCTCCCCCCGAGAAACGCCGTCAGTTACCAGGTTAACGTCCACAGCCCTGTGGTACTGGAGCAGGGCAGGAAGGGGGGCTCCATCCCTCCCCACGGACTGCATGAATCAGTGTCTCTACAGAGCTTGGGGGGGGGGAGGGGAACTGCCTCCCGCAGCCACCTGGTGCGGAGCTCCCAAGACAGGAGCCTGGTGGATCTGCAGCCCGCCAGGGCACTTTCTGCCTATCTCCTGCCGCACCCACACCTTACCTATCGCCAGGAAGAGATCATTAACATTCATCGCGGTCTTGGCCGATGTCTCCATGAACAATAGGCTGTTGTCATCTGCATAGGCTTGTGCCTCCTGTAACAGAGATGCAAGTTCCACTGTTCAGGGGGGTTCCCGCCTGGACGGGGTGGGAAGGCTGAGTGGCGGCCAGACCCACCAATGAGACCCTTTTACAGGCAGACAGTCCCACCTCTACACAAGAGGCCGAGGTCCTGTGCTCTGCGGCTCCAGAGACGGACCCTTAACCCCGACTGGGCTGGAGGCAGGAAGCAGCAAACTCCGCTCTTTGAGAGGCCGCTCAGCGCTTTGCAGGGGCTCGGCCGTGCTAACAGGCCTGGCTAGCCGCCCGACGGACGCAGCGATCCACCTCGAAGGGTGGGTGGAGGACGCCCCTGTGCCACTCCGAGGGGCTGCCAACGCTCCTGGGCGGGTTAGATTCCAGGGGGCTGCTCCCCCTTCCCAGCGCAGCCCCCACACTGGGATTCTGGGAGAACCTGACAGAGCATGTGTCCAGCGGACCCACGAGCTGCTTGCTGGCTGACCCCAGCCAGAGCCGAGCCTCCTGGCTGCTGCAGCTAGGTGCCAAGGCCAGGGGCAGAATTCAGGTGGTCACAGGGGGCTGGGACACCACACACCCCAGCTACTCACTTCGTATTCTACCATGCGCTTGTTGGCGAGGTCGGCCTTGTTGCCCGCTAGGGCTATGACAATGCTGGGGCTGGCTTGCCGCTGCAGCTCTTTCACCCATGTCTTTGCTCGGGCAAACGTTTCCTGGAAGGGAAAGGCGAGAGAGGACAGCATAGTCAGTGGGCAGCGAGCGGCCAAGCTAGAAACAGAACCCGGCCTTACCCCGAGACCATCCTTCCCCCCCGGCACCAGGACAGCTACAGGAGAACTCCCAATGTACCTGGTTGGTGATGTCATAGACCACAATGGCAGCTTGTGCCCCCCGGTAATACATGGGGGCCAGACTGTGATATCGCTCCTGGCCAGCCGTGTCCCAGATCTCAAACTTGACTGTTGTGTCATCCAGGCAGACGGACTGTGTGAGAAACGCCGCTGTGGAGAGGAAGGGAGTCAGTGGCACAGTAGCACTCAGCCCCTGCCCTGGAGAACTGTCAATCTAAGTAGATTGACAGGCAAAGCCCAGGAAGGGAAGTGACTGCCCAAGGGCGCGCAGCAGGTTGTGGGCAAAGCCAGGTCTCCTGACTCCGGATCTAGGACCTTGGAGCGTGCTGCCTCTCTAGGCATTGTTCACACAGGAGCAGGTTAATCATTTCAAGTTTGGACATTAACATTCACCCGCTATTGCTGAAACCCTGCTGCTGCGCGCCAGCTGCATGCTTATCCAGAGATCAGAGAGACGGCTCACATGGCGTCTGCAAACAAGAGCCAGTCCTGGGTTCTGGAAGGAGCTGGAGGCTTGTGGCTGCGTCTCCTGACCTGCCAGACGGGGTGGATACAGCCACGTCCAAACAGGAACAGTGTTTGTGCCCAGGCAGGTTGGCACATCCCGATGCGGTCGTGTGGGACCCAACACGAGTCAGCATGGGATACTGCGACCTACGTTTTCAAGAGGGACTAGCAATCATGTTAAAGGGGGCTTGGTTTCCAGAGGAGCACAGCACCCTTTGGTGTAAGTTGGGAGCCCTAGCTCCTTTCAAAGACACAAGCCTTCAAGAGCCTGGTTCCATTCCCTGCAGCTTTTGGAGCGTGCGGCCCCCCTCGATAAAAAGGCTTTGCATGTGACTTTCAAACCTAACTGACCCGTAAGTCCCCCGGCAAAGGGAGGGAAACGGATACAATGGGGTGGTGTTTGCCCACAGCAGAACCCAGGAGCCTTGGCTCCCAGTTCCATGCACTAACGGATGTCTATGGATCTGTATGGCCACATGAACGCGCTATCGGTCCCCCCGAGCTAGGGAAAGACAGGCGGAGAGAAGGCAAAACACATTAAAAAGGTTCTACATGAGTCAAGACTGAGCAACCCAGGTGTCAAACCACTGCTGGGCACTGAAGGAGTCAGGAACATGTCTCCTGGGGGATTCACCCCGTGATCACTCAGCGCTTCCTCAGCCCTCTACTGCAAGTCTCCAAGCTCTCAATGAAAGATGGTCCCCACTTTACAGAGGGGGCAGTGACACGTGCACGCAGGCACACAAACAGAGCTCAGGTCTCTGCTCCTGCTTCAGTGCTCTAGCCATTGGACAACCCTGCCTCACTGCCCATTATACAGACATGCCACCTATTAATCCAAGATGCATCGTGCGATCTTGCCTCAGCCGCGATCTGAGAATTGGCTGTACCATCTTCACATGCACTATGGGATTCTTTCAGGCAGCTGTGACTTGCTGACGCTCATCCTTCTACATACAGCGAGGCTGCAGGTAACTCTGGAAGGAGCATGGATTCATTACGCCAACTAGCACTGAGCCTCAGGCCTGCTACTCACTTGGGCCCCTCTGAAGGCGCTACAGGCCTTGGGCGGCTCCCAGTGACAAGACAGGGCCTGAAGTGGCCAGCCAAGGGCAGCTGGGCCCTCATCAGGTGGGGAGCGAGGGAGCCAGGCGCTCCAGAGGACTGTGGGGAAGTCTGCGTCTACCCCCCAGGCACACTCCCCCACGCTCTCGCACAGCACTTACCCCCAATGGTGCTCTCCTGGTATTCGTGGAACTGACCCTTCACGAAGCGCAGCACCAGACTGGACTTCCCCACCGCGGACTCGCCCAGCAGCACGAGCTTAAACTGACAGATTTTACTAGCTTGGGACTGACCATTCGGCCTGGCAGCTCCTCTGCTGGTCATGGCCTGGATTCCGGTCACACCCTGCGCCCCAGCAGATCCGAGACCCTTCACGCCACTGACCAGCTCTTGGCTTGGTTCGGAGCCAAGGAACGGTATCCTAGGGGCTCAACTCTCCTGAAACACAAAGGGGAGGAGAATCAGCAAACGGCAGAGATCCCACACTCCCGAGCTGGAAGGGCTCCTCAGGTTTTGGTCTCCGACGTTAACTCGGTTGGACTGAGCTGCCTTCCGCTCCAATCATACAGAAGCCGAGTGCAGCAGGAAAGCACCTATTACCCTACTAAGCCCCAAACAGCCCCACAAGAGGGACTGATCCCCAATGTACAGCTCAGTAATACCGCACACAAGGGCGAGTGAGGAATAGAACCCAGGAGTCCGACTCGCCTGCTGCACCTCCTGGGCCACGCTCCCTTTCCTGCCAAGAGCGCCGATCTCCCCTACATGAAGGTAGAGAGCCCCGCGCCCCGGAGCCTCGCTGGTGGCTGAGCGTTAGGAAGCAGCACGCTGACAAGCAGAAACCGGGCCAAGCAGGGAAAGGAAAAGCCGGAGCCTGACAGCTGAGTGAGTGAGTCAGCAGTCCTAGCAGATGTCTCACTTGCATTCCTGGAGATGTAGCAAACAGCTCCCGGCTAGGACCGTGCACTGCACCATGTGGTACCAAGGGCCAGGGCTGAGGGGCAGCGCCCCTGACCTGTTCTGGGACGGGGCAGGGGGAGTCAAGAGCTCTCCGTTACGCAGCAACGAGCTCAGGCCCCAGTTGCAGCCTGCATGCATCTGTTCTGTTTACTGCCAGTGGCCTGAAATTCCACATCATCCTGTCTCCCCTCCCTCCCCTGGCTCTCTGGGGGCAGGACGGAGGGACTGAACTATTCCATCACTGCCCTTCTGAAGGGAAATTCTTAAATGAGGGACAGTTTGGTCAATTTTTGTTTATGTATTTGGAGATCCCCATTCCCCTGAGCAGTACAGGCACACCGCCTCCCCACAAGGGCCATCGGCAGACCCATTCCCTGCCCAGTAACCCCCACCCCTTTTAAGGCCTCCCCTGTGAGAAAGCTCTGGCACAGGTCTGCAGCAGAGTGAAACTGACGCAACGCTGGTCAGTTTCACATGGCCACTCCCCATGGCCAAAAGTTGTTCTCCCCCAAGCCAGGCAATGGGTGCAAAGAACCATACTGCTGTGAGTTCTCAGGAGGAAACTGTGGGGAGACAGACGGTTCGCTACACCCAGAGCTGGGCTGGTTTAACTTAAGCCAGTCTAACCCCACTTAGACCAGCGCCAGAGGCTGTGGGAACAACTTACTGCAGTTTAAGTGAAGTCAACTAGGAACAGGTTTAAACCAGCCCTAAAGAAGCCACTGAAACCTGAAGCATCCAAAGGTTTGCACTAGTTTAGCAAAAGTGGAACATGTAGAGTCAATACTAGAGATCCTATTTCAAGTGGTGGCCAGTGGTGGGCGGAGGGGGTTAACCAGGTAGGGACCGAACCAGATTTTCATTGAAATAGGACACTAGCTGCATCACAGAGGCGTGAACTGCAGACTCTTGTTTTGGTTCTAGTTTGTGTGTAGCCAACACCTCCGGTCTGCCAGCGGCTGTGAGTTGAGGTCCTTAAGGTCTCTCAGGACTTCAGCTCAATCCTTTGTTCAATGCACTAGGAGACTGGGAGAAAGGAATCTTTCGACCGGATGTGAAATGCATTTTAAGACCTCAAAACACATGCATGCTAGCGATGCCTCTTTACTAGAACCCCCTTAGAAAACGTCTGCCGAACTGTGTTAATTCAAACAACTCTACATCTGCTTTGGGATGTTGGTAACTGCAAAAAAGATATCGGGAGCAATGGAAGAAAACGGCATTAAACTTCAGAGTGTTCATTTCACCATGTAACAGATTCAATTAAGTGTTGCACATCTTAGCCCTTTATTCCAGTGGATTCGTACCCCTAGCGATGAGTCAGGGAAAGTTTAGCAAAACATGTGGTGGTTGGTTTGCCTACCAACTCTCCAGAGCCCATTTCTGGATTCCATGGCCAGCACCGGTGACCCTGGAGCCAAGGGCAGCCGGGTTTCTCAAATGCAGGCAACTGGGCCAGGATTTTTCAAGAAGAGTCCTGATTGTGGCTATCAAATCCGAGACACCTTCAAGAGACCCGACTCAGAGGCTGTGCGCTCAGGTCCCTTTGAGACCTCTCAAATCAGACACCCCAAAATCACCAGCCATTTCTCAGTCTCTCAGGCCTTTCCTTCCGTGTTCACACCCTAAAGGAAGCACTTCCAGGCCTTGAGGGGAGAGAGCAGCTCCAAGTCTGGTGTGTTATAGGGAAGATCTGTTTGCATTAACAGGGCCAAGTATTCAAGAAAACAAGGGTCACCTGAAGACTCTCCAGCGAGCAGCCAGGAAAAGCCTGGTCATTTCCCGTTCCCCAGCTGCTTCGAGACAAGCAGACTAAAGGCCAAAATCTGGCAGGAAACGCTAAATGTAACCACTGTGATTTGTACAACTCCAACGCTGGGCAGCCCGATACTTCCCAGCCCCAGGGAGGAGGGACAGTCGCCATTTTAGTCTTCTAAAGCAAGAATCCAGGAACAATCTGGTAGCAACCCGAGTACGGCATGTTCAGCTTTCCTGGCGCTGAGCTGGCTAAAGACAGGGAAATGCTTCCTTCCGCTTTCCGAGGCCCTTGTTTTGTTAGATATGTAAGAGGCATGATTAAGCAATGACCTCGTCAGCATCCTAGGAGAGCCCTGCGTGATTCTGGAGAAGCAGCCGGCACAAGCCAGCGTGCTCTGATTCTTAGCAGCCACTCTCTGCTTTGCTTGTCCAGGAAAAACGCAGCCGGGTTAGAGCTTCAAATTAGGCCAGACCCAGATGGGGAGAGTTCGATACGGAGGGAGCAACATGAGGGTTTAGCAACTACAATTAGGGCCAGCTTTGAAAGTCCTCAGCGCCTCCCATTGGGAGCCGATCTCTTTTGGAAGTTCGGCCTTTGGGGTCAGAAGACTATTGGGCTTCTCCAACTGAAGACATTCCCAGGGCTTGTCCCGAAGAGTGAATTGCTGGTCACCCCACCCACTAGCTGAACCTGCCAATCACAGGTTAGTTACAGCCCTTTGTATGCCGGCTTAAGCAAGTCACAAGAGGCTAAACACGAAGGACACTTCAGAGCAGCAGCCTCATTGCAAAGCCAGCCACCACAGACCCTTAAAGGCCATCCGCAAAGGGTGGTTTGTTTGGGTTTTTAAATGGCTTCGCCTTTGAAGGCTTCCGCAGAACCTTGTCTGGCCTTCCCTCCATGCTGGAGGTCCGAGCTCCCGCAAAACACAAAGGTGTTGTCTCTCCTGAGCGCGGATTAAATATTGGGTAGCAGGTGAAAAAAGATGCTGTAACCATTCTGACAAAAATCCCTTCTCGATTGCTGCAGCTTTCACTTGCTTGCGATGTGCTCGTTTCATTCGGTCCCCGAGTCACCGCAGTCTTCCAGGGTGGGTGGACAGGAAAGTCGAACGTAAAGACACTTTTCAGATTCTTCCACAGCATAAGGATGCGGACACAAGCCAAGTTACCCACCTCCTCACTGCAGCTCAGGTCACCTAAGTGCCTAGTACCAGAGAAAATTGTCATCTTCCAACAATTCTCTGCACTCAGACAGGGCCTTCCAAAACCGAGGATCTCCAAGCACTTTACAAACCGAGCTGAATTAAGCCTCCCCGTGCCCCGGGAGTAGCACCCCCATTTCAGAGAGGAGGACGGGAAAGCACAGACATGAAGTCACTTGCAAGTCTGGCAGAGACGTGTGTCAGGCATAAGAACGTTCGACCTGCATGCTATTTCGCAAGATAGCTCCCGAGAGTTTCTTCTGTTACGTGGGTTTCCCACTTCAACAAGGCCAAGCTTCTTCATAGTGTGTGAAAGTGAGGTGTGTACACATGTGCGTAAACACATCACAAGAATAGACAACCCGACACAGCTCATGGAGGTACCCAGAAAAGTTAGAAATCCTGTTGTACTGTTGGTGTCCAGAGACCAGGGACTGGCATGAGATGGGAAGCTGAATACAAGTGCTAAAGTCGCTCTAAAGGGGTCTCCTCTGCATCGTGCCGAACAATGAGGTGCTGTTCTTGGATGGTCCCTAGCCACCGCTGTCACACACATCAATACAATCCCAGGAAAGCTCCAGGAACTCCCCCCCCCCCCCCGTGCAATCAGAGTAGTTGATCCGTCCATCCACTCATATTCACTAAATACAGAGCTCCATTGCAGCAGGAGCTTCCACCAATAGCAAGAATGAATTTAACTCAACGAAATTCAATCAGAAAAGCCCTCCTCTGAAGCAAGGGGGCTCCTACAGATCAGGGGCTGTACCCCCCACCCGCCCCAACATGCTATAAAAACTCCATGGCCCAGCTGTGCCACCACAACTGGTTTTCTGCATACAAAAGCCAGGGCCGGTGTTAGGGGGTAGCAAGGAGGACAATTGTCTGGGACCCCCCCACCACAAGGGGCCCTGCAAAGCGAAGTTGCTCAGGCTTCGGCTTCCACCCCAGCCCTGGCGGTGGGGCTCAGGACTCCGGGCTGTAGTCCCACGTGCCGGGACTTTGGCTTTCTGGCCTGGGCCCTAGCGAGTCTAATGCCAGCCATGCTTGGCAGACCCCCTGAAACCTGCTCCTGGTGAGAACCACTGCTCTAGATTAGAGAGACACCTTTCTTTAAGAGGCTACTGCCCACATTTAGCACTTTCACGGACTACCTGCAACACTAATATCAAACATCTGTCGCAACCACAATTACTGTCCAGAAAGTTCCTTACCCATCAAAGGAAAACGTTTTCAGTTCGCAACTAACAGCTGCCTCGGAAATGGACGACCCCCCAGAGCGGCAGTGACTTGCACATCACAACCCTTAGCTTGCCCAAGTTACAGTCAAGGTGTTCTAGCACAGGCAGTGCAGCTTCAGTCAGACTGTGCGCCGACATGAGAGATTCGGGAGTCAGTGCGGCTGACCATTGGGTTACCCCGAGAAGCGGAGCAGGGCTCAACAGCCGGCTCTGATGCACTGAGCAAGTTCAACTTCTTTTGGACAGTCCAGGGTGAAAGACTTGGGAAAGATCCGCA